TTTTTTTTTTTTGAGACAGTGTCTCACCCTTGTTGCCCAGGCTGGAGTGCAGTGGTGCTATCTCGGCTCACTGCAACCTCTGTCTCCCAGGTTACAGCGCCTGCTTCAGCCTCCCAAGTAGCTGGGATTACAGGCACATGCCAGCACGACCGGCTAATTTTTGTATTTTTTAGTAGAGACAGGGTTTCACCATATTGGCCAGGCTGGTCTCGAACTCCTGACCTAGGGTGATCCACGCCTGCCTCAGCCTCCTAAAGTGCTGGGATTATAGGCATGAGCCACCGCACCTGGCCTAATCATACTTTAAAATGATTACTTCAGTGGCATTTTTACATAGCATATTGATATTTTGGTTGTAAATATATTGTGCAGAAGATTTGCAAAAATATTCCACAGTCCTAACGCTCAGAGATAACTACTCTTAAAAATACTGGTATATTTCCTTTTAGTCTTTCTTTTACCCCGTGTATAAGTGTATAGGATATTTTAACTTCAATTTAATTTTTGATTGATGGAATTTTAGGCATTGTAATCCCTTGAAGTGAAAACCTTTGCAGGATAGAGGATAGAGGGAGATATTCTAGGACTGAAATTTTTAATGTAGTTTAATCATACTCAGAAGTCCATTTCCAATTCTGTTTTCCCATGTTCTTCCCATTTTTTGTTTTCTCTTTCTTTTGAGCTCATAAATTTTCTAAAAATTGGTTTCTATTCATGGCTTCCATGGCAGTAAGAGCATCCTCTTTAATGATAGGGTGTAGGAGACAAGATCAAAGGTGAATATACCCACACACACCACACACATGATTATTTCTAAGTCAGGGACTGCCTATGATTGCAGAGTCTCATTTTTTTTATTCTCCTTTCATCACTTTTGCAGAATGGATGATGTGCTTGCAGAGTATGAACTATGACACACTCCTGGTTGTTGCATGCTAGGTTTGTCAATTAGTCATCATTTACTAGCATTCTGTAGCTGTGTCATATTTAACTTTTCTTTGTTGTACATTAAAAAGATTTCTTTTGTTTATTTTGTTTGCATGTTCCACTCTAGTGTTTTCAACACTAAAACTTCTTCCATATATTGCCATTATATACCCTTCTTTCATGTATAAACTAGAATTCTGAACTAAGGGTTGCTTCTGGAACTTAATCATTTGATGATCTTATCCCACTATTAGAGAATAAAATACAATGTAAAATCATCTTATTGAAAAGCCAACTTTGACATACAAATATGTTATTATAGTTATAAAACTACCAGTCACATCTGTGGCAGAGCCACTTTTTAACCATAGAGAAGTGAAAAACCACAACCTCTGTATAGTCTTAGCTTTATTAGCACATACTCTCAGCCTCTAAAATGACTTGCAAGATTCTTTTAAATCTGTTTGAAACCTGTTGGTCAGTCCGTATATTATGTTACTGCATTTGTAACCAATTTGGTAACAGTTCTAATTATTCAGTGCTATATTGCCACTTCCCAGGGAAAAACATTCTATTTGTTGCTTATGGGAATTTTTAAGAGGCTGAAAAATACATATTTGTGGGAAACTGTATGGTCTTCTTTTGATTGATTCTTTATATTTGTGCAATATATTTTAACAGGCGTGATAAAGCGGAATTGGGAATATATGTGTAGCCATGATAAAGAAAAAACGAAGATCCTAGGAGATAAAAATGTTGATCCCAAATGTGAAGACAGTGAGAACAAGTTTGACTTTTCAGTGATGTCCTATAATATACTTTCACAAGATTTATTGGAAGATAACTCTCACCTTTATAGACATTGCCGGCGGCCAGTATTACACTGGAGTTTTAGGTTTCCCAATATTCTGAAAGAAATTAAACACTTTGATGCAGACGTAAGTGGAAAATATTATTGAAATTCTTCACATCAGAACAAGTTGGGTTAAATGTTTCATTTGTGCATTATGGACCAAATGATTTTATCCGTCTTGTTTGACCCACCACGCCTCGCTAATTATTTAATTTTTTGTAGAGACAAGAAGGGAATATGTTTAAGAATAATGTGATGGAATCAGTCTTAATAAGGTATCATGACTTTCAGAGGCATTTGTTAGTGGTTGTTAGTATGAATAATCATCTAACTTTTCAAAAGGGTCCAAAGAATGGGTCAGTTTTGAGACAGAAACTGGCAACGTATTATTCAGTAAATATTAACTTTGAATTGAAGTTTCAGTAATTCATGTAAAAACCTGATAGCATTCAAAGAAATCAGCCTCTTAAGAGCTGAAAGATAGTACTAATGAACATGTAAAACCAGGAAAAATATCCTGACATGTAAGCTAAGATTATTTCCTTTGGGAAATAATAATTTTGAATACTAAAGGAGCTCCATGTGATTGAGGGCCAGAGTTTTGAAATCGATCAAATTTAGAGACATTAATTTAGTAGATCTATAACAAGAAAAAAGGATAAGTCTTTTATTTTAATTCTTACCAAGTGTGGAATTTTAGAAGGCTGCTTTTAGATATTTTAAGATAAAAGCACCAGGAAATTCATGTTTGCATCTCTGTGTTTTAATTCAAGCTATTTTTTTTCTTCCAAGGTACTTTGTTTGCAAGAAGTTCAAGAAGATCATTATGGAGCAGAGATCAAGCCAAGTTTGGAATCACTGGGTACAATGTAACTTTTTTTTTTTCTCTTTTGAGACAGTCTCACTCTGTGGCCCAAGCTGGAGTGCACTGGCGCAATCATGGCTCACTGCCGCCTCAACCTCCTGGGGTCAAGTGATCCTCTCATCCCAGCTTCCTGAGTAGCTGGGACTAGAGATATGTACCACCATGCTGGCAATATAACTTTTATCTTAGCCAAATTTACTTTTGAAAATTCATGTGTCATTAAAATATAACTTGCTAACAAAAATGTGTGGCATATTTAGGCTAAAAATCTTAATTTTAAAAACTAAATTTCAAAAGGCCAGGAAAAGATTGAGGTATTCTATTGGAAAGTTTTATGTTGGTATATAATTCTAATTCAAACAAAACATGTATTAGAATCTCAGTAGTTCCCTTTCCTAGGAGTTGTTTGGCCTACCTCTAGACCTGTAAGATTCTGAGCTCCATGAGATCAAGGACCATTCTGTCTTGTTCATCATTACAATACCAGTGCCTACCAGCGTATACCTAATGGATAAATGCCAAAAATCTGTTTGATAAATAAACGCTTCTAGAAACAAGTTATTTGTGGTCACATATCCTTGAGAAATGTGCCTACTTTGCATTTATTCATTCAGCAATTTTTTTTTTTTTTTTTTTGAGTGCCTGCCATATACCATGCACTGTTCTAAGGAGTGAGGATATAGCATTGGGTGAAAAAGATTTAAAAAATGTCTCCCGCCGGGTGCGGTGGCTCAAGCCTGTAATCCCAGCACTTTGGGAGGCCGAGGCGGGCGGATCACGATGTCAAGAGATCGAGACCACCCTGGTCAACGTGGTGAAACCCCGTCTCTACTAAAAATACAAAACATTAGCTGGGCATGGTGGCACGTGCCTGTAATCCCAGCTACTCAGGAGGTTGAGGCAGGAGAATTGACTGAACCCAGGAAGTGGAGGTTGCGGTGAGCCGAGATCGCGCCAGTGCACTCCAGCCTGGGTAGCAAGAGTGAAACTCCGTCTCAAAAAAAAAAATGTCTCCCTCTTGTGGGATGTACATTCTAGTGGAAAAAGGCTAACCAAATAAGTAAATAGCATATTAAGTAATGATATTTTTCTGGAGAAAAGCAGGAAAGTGGAATGCGGGAGGTTTGAATTTTAAACAAAATGATCAGACAAGGTGACATTTGAACAAAGATTTGAAGGAGATGAAGGAATAAGCCATGCCTAGAACATTCTACACAGCAGAAATAGCAAGGGAAAGGCCCTGAGTTTGGAGTGTATTAAGGGAAATGAGGAGGCCAGTCAGGTTGAAATGAAATGAGGGGAAAGCAGTTATAGGCAAAAAGATCAGGGATATAGGATGTAGAGAGTGAGAGAATAGATTATTATAAGGCTTTACTGTTATTACCATGACTGAGTTTTACTAGGATGGCAATGGGAGACTGATAATACACAGTAGCATATCTGAAGTCTACCCATAAAGAGGCCTGTTAGACCCATTGTCACATGTTTTTTTAATCCAATGCTTATTTACATCCTACATTACTAGTATTTTCAGAATATAGTTTGGTAAACATCGTTCAAACATATTAGGTGAGCTGTGTTTTGACAAATATGTAAAATAGTTGTTTTAAATTCATTTGTTTCTTATAGGTTATCACTGTGAATATAAGATGCGGACAGGAAGGAAACCTGATGGCTGTGCTATTTGCTTCAAACATTCCAAATTTTCACTCTTGTCAGTGAACCCAGTGGAATTCTACCGCCCTGATATTTCTCTGTTGGACAGAGACAATGTTGGATTAGTTTTACTCTTACAGCCCAAAATTCCATGTGCTGCCTGTCCTGCGATCTGCGTAGCAAATACGCATCTATTGTATAATCCAAGGCGAGGTGACATTAAGCTGACCCAATTGGCAATGCTACTGGCAGAGATTTCCAGTGTTGCCCACCAGAAGGATGGCAGCTTCTGCCCTATTGTTATGTGTGGTGACTTTAATTCTGTTCCTGGTTCTCCACTATATAGTTTCATAAAGGAAGGAAAATTGAATTATGAAGGACTTGCCATAGGAAAGGTAAGTGCTTGTTTCATTGGTGTTAGGAGGTGGACATAGTTGCTCTGCTCATGATTGTGTGAAGATAGTCATTACATGGCTGTTTGAAAACCTTGGATAATCCAGTACCCTCACTTTATCAAACTATGATGAATTTCCATGACTTAATTTTTTTTTGAGACAGAGTGTCGCTCTGTCGCCCAGACTGGAGGCTATAGAGTGTAGTGTCGTGATCTCAACTCACTGCAGCCTCCGCCTCCCAGGTTCAAGTGATTCTCTTGCCTCAGCCTCCCAAGAAGCTGAGATTATAGGCACCTGCCACCACGCCTGGCTACTTTTTGTATTTTTAGTATAGACGGGGTTTCACCATGTTGGCCAGGCTGGTCTCGAACCCCTTACTTCAAGTGAGCCACCCACCTTGGCCTCCCAAAGTGCTGGGATTACAGGCATAAGCCATTGTGCTCAGCCACTTCTGTTAAGTAATTATTTTCACTTGGTTGATTTTCATCTTTTTCATCTCTCTGTGGCAACATACTGCTTGGAGGAATTAACAGGCATCTCCCCCACCCCCCAAAAAAGAGATATTGATAGACATGGATACTTAAATAAGTAACTATTCACAAGGTGGCAGTATAGAATTTTGAATGCTGGATATGGGCAAAATAGTTATTTAACATTTATTATGTAAGTTTCCCTTGCACAATAAATATTTTATTTAGCTTAGCACAATTTATCTCGTGTAATTATTTTTATTGTGCTTTCCTCTCCTTACTTTAGATTATTTGATCTTTAGTACATTTGCCGAAATAAGCTCTCCACCACTGGAGTTTTGAGTGATAGTTTAAAATTTTATAAGAGCTGATCTCTCTTAGTACAGGTATACCTTGTTTTATTGTGCTTTGCTTTATCAAGCTTCACAGATACTGCATTTTACAAAATGGAAGCTTTGTAGCAACCCTGCCTTAAGCAGCTCTGTCGGCACCATTTTTCCAACAGCATGTGCTCAATTCCTGTCTCTGTCACATTTTGGTAACTCTTGCATTACTCAAACATTTTCATTATTATTATATCTGTTATGTTGATCTAGGATTAGTAATCTTTGATATTACTATTGTAATGGTTTTGGGGTGTTATGGACTGTACTCATGTAAAATGATGAACTTAATCGATAAATGTGTTCTGACTGTTCCACTAGTCATCTCTCTCCCTCTGCCTGGGCCTCTATATTCCCTGAAGCACAACAATATTGAAACTAAGCCAAGTAATAGCCCTGCAGCGCTCTCTAGGTGTTCAAGTAAAAGTAAGAGTCACATGTCTCACTTTGAATCAAAAGCTAGAAATGATTAAACTTAGCAAGGAAGGCATTTTGAAAGCCAAGACAGGCCAAAAGCTAGGCCTCTAGCACCAAGCAGCAAAGTTGTGAATGCAAAGGAAATGTTCTTGAAGAAAATTAAAAGTGCTACTCCAGTGTGTGAAGGCATAAGAAAGTAAAACAGCCTTATTGCTGATATGGAGAAAGTATGAGTGGTCTGGATAGAAGATCAAACCAGCCACAGCATTCCCTTCAGTCAAAGCCTACTCCAGAGCAAGGCACTACATCTCTTCGATTTTATGAAGACTGAGAGAGATGAGGAAACGGCAGAAGAGAAGTTGGAAATTAACAGAGGTTAATTTGTGACGTTTAAGGAATGAAGCGATCTCCATAACATAAAAAGTACAGTGAAAGCAACAAGTGCTGCTGATGTTAAAGCTGCAGTAGATTATCCAGAATATCCGGAAGATCTAGCTAAGATCATTGCCGAAGGCCGCTAAACTAAACAATACTTTTTTTTTTTTTTTCCTGAGATAGGTTCTCGCTCTGTTTCCCAGGCTGGAGTGCAGTGACACAATCTCGGTTCACTACAAACTTACCTCCTGGGTTCAAGAGATTCTGCCTCAGCCTACCAAGTATCTGGGATTATAGGTGCGTGCCTCCTTGCTGGGCTAATTTTTAAATATTTTTTGGTAGAGATAGGGTTTCACCATGTTGCCAAGGCCGGTCTCGAACTCCTGGGCTCAAGCGATCCTCCTGCCTCTCAAAATGCTGGGATTACAGGCGTGAGCCACCGCACCTGGCCAAAAATAGATTTTTAATATGGATGAAACCACTTTCTATTGCAAGGAGATGCCATCTAGGACTTTCATAGCTAGAAAGAAGTCAGTGCCTGGTTTCAAAGGACAGGCTGACTCTTTTGTTAGGAGCTAATGTAGCTTGTTACTTTAAGTTAAAGTCAGCATTTGTTGACCATTCCGAAAATCCTATGGCACTTAAAAATTATGTTAAATCTACTCTGCCTGTGCTCTGTCAATGGGAAAACAAAGCTTGGGGATGACCATGCATCTGTTTATGGCACAGAATATTTTAAGCACACTGTTGAGACTACTCAGGAAAGCAGATTCTTTTCCAAAGATTAGTGTCCATTGACAAGGCACCTAGGTTACCCGGGAACTCTGATGAAGATGTACAAGGAAATGAATGTTGTTTCATGCCTGCTAACACGGCATCCATTCTGCAGCCTATTGACTCAAGGAGTAAGTTTGTACTCACAGGTTCCCTTACTTGAGAGATACATTTCATAGGCTATAGCTACCATAGAAGTGATTTCTCTGTGGATCTGGGGAAAGTAAATTGAAAACCTGGAAAGGATTCAGCATCCTAAGTGCTATTCAGAACATTCGTGATTCATGGGAGGAGGTCAAAATATCACCATTTAAAGGAGTTTGGAAGAAGTTAATTCCAACTTTCATGATGACTCTTAGAGGTTCAAGACTTCACTGGAGAAAGGAACTGTAGATGTGGTAGAAATAGCAAGAGAACTAGAATTAGAAGTGGAACCTAAAGAAGTAACTGAATTGTTTCAGTCCCATGATAAAACCTAAATAGGTAAGGAGTTGCTTCTTATAGATGAGCAAAGTATTTTCTTGAGATGGAATCTACTTCTGATGAAGATGCTGTGAATATTGCTGAAATGACAACAAAGGATTTTAAATGTTACATAAATTTAGTTGATAAAACATTGGCAAGGTTTCTGACTTTGAAAAAAGTTCTACTGTGTATAAAGTGCTGTCAAACAGCATCACATTCTACAGAAAAATCTTTTATGAAAGGAAGCATCAGTGGCTGCTGCAAATTTCATTTTTGTCTTATTTTAAGAAATTGCCACAGCCAACCCCCAACCTTCCAGCAACCATCATACTGATCAACCAGTAGCCATTAATATCTAGTCAAGGCCCTCCACCTGTAAAAAGATGATGACTAACTGAAGGCTCAGATGATTGTTAGCATATTTAACAAAGTATTTTTAAATTAAGGTATTTATTTTCTTAGGCATAATGCTATTGCGTATTTAGTTAACTACAGTATTAGTATAAACACAACTTTTATATGCACTGAGAAACTGAAGAAATTATGTGACTTGCTTTATTGAGATACTTTATTGTGGTGGCCTGGAACCAAACTGCAGTTTCTCTGAGTATGCCTGTATTTGGTACAGGCTATATTGCAGGCAGTAAAAATGAATGGGCAGTATTAGTCCAAAGCGATAGATCATTTGTATGTCCAAATTAGAGAAAAACATGTATGGGAAAAAGATTGTCATTTTATGTAAATGATGATTGTTTTTGAAGAAAAGAAGATTTTATAAAGTCAAATAATCACTTAATATAATGAATAAAGGGTAATATTTACCACTTTTGGATTACCTTTTATTTAAGACATAAACTTTTCAATTCATAAGCTATTTAAAATCTATTCACTTAAGACACCTGTTGAAATTTTGTTTAGGTATCTGGCCAGGAACAGTCTTCACGGGGACAAAGAATTTTATCTATTCCAATTTGGCCCCCAAACCTAGGTATCTCACAGAACTGTGTGTATGAGGTACAGCAGGTACCAAAAGTAGAAAAGACAGGTAAGTGTTTGTAATACATTTTGGCAGTCTGCTGGGTAATCATGTTCCCTTTGAAGACATAAAACTAAGTTTTTAAAAAGATAAAATCTCAGGGATGAATATTCATATATAAAAATATATAGTTAGTCATTCTTTTTCTTAAGACCTCTAAATTTACCTTTTTAAAGTTGAACTTCCAGAATTATCTGTGCATGATTTACTTGCATGTTGCTTTGGAATCGTTTGCATTTTATTTTTCCGAATTATGGAGTCCATAGAAATATATAGATTCCAGAATGAAACATGTAACTAGACATCTTTCTAACCTTTAGATAAGTCTTAAATATTGTTTCTAGAGTAAGATGATGCTCCTAAGGCAAACTAGAACAAAACTATATAAATAACATATTTTCCTCTATTCTTACAGATAGTGATCTGACACAAACACAGCCGAAGCAAACAGAGGTCCTAGTGACAGCTGAAAAGTGAGTTCTGAAAAGCAAAAGTAAACATTTGCTAACTTCAGTTGAATGAAAAACTCATTTCTCAAAAATCACTTGGATAAAAAAATGAAGGCGATAATATTCCTTGCTGGTGAAGAGTGCTGGCTCTTAGGTCAAATAGGCCTGAGTTCCAGTCCTGAGTCTACTGTGTTTTAGCTGAATGATTTTGGGCAAGAAACTTAACATCTTTGAGGTCCAGTTTCTTTGTCTATAGTTTGGGTTGTTATGAGGATTAGATGAGACAAAGCATATAAAGCACAGTGTTTGAAACATAGTTAAGTGCCTAGGTAGTGTTAGGAAGGGAAACAGCCTGTCTGTTTCAAAGAGCTCAAGTACTCTTTGAAATTCACATATTTAAGCAAAGGTCAAGATCACAGAAAAATATCTTTCAGATATCAAGGGGATCTTTAGTTGTCTTTAATTTACCAAATCTCAAAATAGGCTATAAGACAACTGATCCAAAAATGAATATGCCAGTTGAAAAGATGATCATTTTAATTTATCTCTTGAACAATAGGAAAAAATTGTCAGAGGGGTAAAGATGCTGGGATTCTTCATTAAAGAAATAAGCATATTTGGGGCTATGGTTGAAAAATGGATACATGTCAATACAACAGGACAGAGACTTAAATCTATCTTTGGAAGATGCTTGAAATATCTTGATTGTTTTATATTGTGGCTCTTTTACAGTTTTTTAACATTTAAATTTAGGAACCAAATTTCATTCATTTTATTTGCTTCTCAATCTTACTTTATTTTGTATACCTTGTTTTGAGAAAATATTATTGTACAAATAAGAACTAGTAAGAATGGAAGCAATTTTAAAAAAAATCTTTAATGAATATTTAAAAATTCATAATTAAACCTTTCAATCTAGTATAAACTTATTTGAATATGATTAATGAAGGAGGCTAATCTAACAAATACTTAGTTTTGAGTAATTCTTAAATCTTTTTATAACAATATAGGATATAAAACAGATACTGGCTGGGCGTGTTGGCTCACGCCTGTAATCTCAGCACTTTGGGATGCCAGGGCGGGAGGATTGCTTGAGCCCAGGAGCTTGAGATCAGCCTGGACAACATAGTGAGAACCTGCCTCTATTAAAAAAAAAAGAAATTAAAAATAAAACAATCTGGCCAGGTACAGTGACTCATGCCTGTAATCCCAGAACTTTGGTAGGCTGAGGCCGGTGGATCACCAGGTCAGGAGTTCAAGACCAGCCTGGCCAAGATGGTGAAACCCCGTCTCTACTGAAAATACAAAAAATTAGCCAGGCGTGGTGGTAAGTACTGTAATCCCAGCTACTCAGGAGGCTGAGGCAGAGAATTGCTTGAACTGGGGAGGTGGAGGTTGTAGTGAGCCAAGATCGCACCACGGCACTATAGCCTGGACTGGGCAACAGAGCAAGACTCCATCTCAAAATAAATACATAAAAATAAAACAAAAAATAAAACGGCTATCTTGCCCTTTGTGTCTAAAAATTAAAAGAAAAAAACATACTTTTTAGTATCTATATATAAATACAGCATAATCATATGCATAGCTTATATCTATAAAAGGAAAAATTGATAGTAAAGAGTTTGCAGAAGACCTGTTTGTGTTTATTATTTTTATTTTTATTTTTATTTTATTTTATTTTATTTTTTTTTGAGACGGAGTTTCACTCATGTTACCCAGGCTGGAGTGCAATGGCGCGATCTCGGCTCACCGCAACCTCCGCCTCCTGGGTTCAGGCAATTCTCCTGCCTCAGCCTCCTGAGTAGCTGGGATTACAGGCATGCACCACCATGCCCAGCTAATTTTTTGTATTTTTAGTAGAGACGGGGTTTCACCATGTTGACCAGGATGGTCTCGATCTCTTGACCTCGTGATCCACCCGCCTCGGCCTCCCAAAGTGCTGGGATTACAGGCTTGAGCCACCGCGCCCGGCTATTATTTTTATTTTTGAGAGTCACTCGCTCTCTGTCATCCAGGATAGAGTACAGTGGCATGATCTTGGCTCACTGCAGCCTTGACCTCCCAGGCGCAAGAAATTCTCTTACCTTATTTTTCTAGTAGCTGGGACTATAGGCATGTGCCACCATGCACAGCTAATTTTCCTGATTTTTTGGTGAGGGGTAGAGATGAGGTCTCACTTTGTTGCCTAGGCTGGTCTTGAACTCCTGAGCTCAAGCAATCTTCCCGCCTTGGCCTGTCAAAGTGCTGGGATTACAGGTGTGAGCCACTGCACCTGGCCCTATTTATGTTTAATATTATAAATATAAGTTCTTAGACATAAAAAGTTGCTGAAACTGAGGGCATTTTTAAGGATTTACCTTTGTTCTTGACATATGAACACTTTAAAAGCAAAGGAAACATCTTCATCTGTGTATTCTCAGCACATGAGATAGTACCTAGAATTTAGAAGATGTTTGGTAAATGTTTGTTGTTAAATTTTTTAAATTTTTAAGTATTCTATTTTCCTTCTAGGTATAAAAGATCCTTAAGATTCATAAAGTATCACTAGAAAATGATCTTTAAACCCTTTACTCATAACATTACATGTATTATATTTGTGCATAGGGCAAATGTAATAAACCATTAGAGAAGCTATTTAAGATGCAGTACAAAATTATCTCATAAGTCATAGCAAGAAAAATTAGAGAAGAATATGACCTCTCTGTCATCAAAAGTCTGGGGGGTTCCAAATAGCGCTCCTGAAGACCACCTTGATTCTCTTTTTTAAAAACACAAACTTGTAAGTTGTTTTAGAATACATGTTCTTTAGTAAGTGGATGCATTCAAATATATTATAAATAAGGAAAACATGCATTAGTATGTTAATTATTGAGCTTTTTTTAAACCCACAAGTATAATGGCCTTATTGATGGGTTTTAGATATCACTGCATAAGTAAATGAGTACTAAATTATGATATGGTCTATTTAAATAAATATCTGGTCTTAATCTAGAAAATAAATGAAAAAGAACTTCAGATAGGAGGAATTCTAGAAGTTACAAAAAACTTGGATACTAAACACTTCTTCTTTTCAATTTAGATTATCTTCAAATTTACAGCACCATTTCAGCTTGTCATCTGTTTATTCACATTACTTTCCTGACACTGGAATTCCAGAAGTGACCACCTGTCATTCCCGAAGTGCCATAACTGTGGATTATATTTTCTACTCTGCAGAAAAGGAAGATGTTGCTGGGCACCCAGAAGCTGAAGTTGCTTTGGTTGGTGGCTTGAAACTTCTAGCTAGACTGTCACTTCTTACAGAACAAGACTTATGGACTGTTAATGGACTTCCAAATGAAAATAACCCTTCAGATCATCTGCCATTATTGGCAAAGTTCAGACTTGAGCTCTGACTCTGCTTTGATCACATACTAATTTTCTTTCCAATTTGTATTGTTTTTCAAAGAATGTAAAGTTCTTAAGTGTATGCATGTTGTTTATTTTTGCACCGTGGAGTTTCTGAAGAGGTTAACGTTAGATGCTTTGAAACTCCATATCAGAACAAACAACTTTATAACCATTTTTTTAATAATGAAAAAATATTTTCCTGACAAGTGAGATCTAAATACTCTTTATTGTAAAAGAGCTGTAAAGGTTTTGTATTCTAAATCCTAGTAAAATTGACAGTGATTTTTAATTATAATGCATCTTCCTTTGTCTGCTTAGTAAACAATTTTATTTCATAATTTTGGCAAGCTCTATAGTGGATCCAGAGTATCTTTGAGTTCTTGCAAGCTACAAGTTGTTTCCTTCCCAGAAGGCTTGATTTCATTAGGAGTACCCTCTACTGAGTTCTCAGTAGTTTATCTTTGGAAGAAGGTGGCAGCTATAAAATTATTTTTGTTATCCTCAGAAATATGAGGAAGCCTGTGAAACTCTACTGGGGAGATATTAACTTGAAGACTTAGTACTCTGTAAATAGTCATTTAAACTGTTGGTTTTAGTGGTTTTGTTTCTAAAATGTTTTCTGTTACAGTGATGCATCAGCGTGAGATGGTGCTGACACTTTCTATGAAGTGGTTATGAGCAGGTTTAATCCTCTATACAAGTGTTTGAATCAATTTTAAAACTTAAAAAGTGGAAATTCCCTCTTTTGTAGACAGTAGGAACAAGGAATTGTATGCATTTTTACTAAGTAGTAATTTTACACTGAATTATAAAGTTTTTACAATGAGTTTTATTAATAGAATGCTTCATCTTAAATTGGAAAACAGTAATAGTCTTGGACTAAGTCTTTGTACTAAAGCATTTGCTCTAATTATTTTTTTAAAAACAAACAGGTGAAAGCCTCAAAGAAGGCCTGTGGCTTATAAGATTTGCCTAGTAAAAACTGTAATTGAATGTTTAAATATTTAATTTCTCACTTTTCAGGGGGGGTTATTTTTTTATTTTTTAGATGGAGTCTCACTCCATCACCCAGGCTGGAGTGCAGTGGTTCGATCTTGGCTCACTGCAATCTCCTCCTCCTGGGTTCAAGCAGTTCTCCTGCCTCAGCCTCCCAAGTAGCTGGGGTTACAGGTGTGCACCATCACACCCAGCTAATTTTTGCATTTTAGTGGAGATGGGGTTTCGCTGTGTTGGGCAGGCTGGTCGTGAAATCCTGACCTCAATTGATCCACCTGTGTCAGTCTCCCAAAGTGNTTTTTGAGACAGAGTCTCATTGTGTTACCAGGCTGGAGTGCAGTGACTTGATTCTGCAACCTCTGCCTCCCAGGTTCAAGTGATCTTCCCACCTCAGCTTCCTCAGTAGCTGGGACTACAGGCATAAGCCACCATGCCCACCTAATTTTTTTATTTTTTTGTAGAGACAGGGTTTCACCATGTTGCCCAGGCTGGTCTCTAACTCCTGAGCTCAAGCGATCCATCTGCCATAGCCTCCCAAAGTGGCTTGGATTACAGGCATGAGCTACCTCATTTGGTCAGAAAAATCGATATTGTATTACTAGGTGTTTTCAAAAAGTGAAGGTGCTAAAAAGGTTTTCTTTGTGTGCGTCAATGAAAATCAGGTTTTAAACATTAACCAAAGGATTTAAAGTGGAGAAGAAAATGCAGTTTAGGATTACTGGAAGTAAAAAAATTAAGAAAACTTTGGAATGTGATCAGCTGTTTTTTTCTTTTCTAATTCTTTTTTTTGTCTTCCTTTTTTTGATGCTTCTTTTCCTTTACCCTTTTCCCTATTATTTGTTCCCCCCTTCTTTCTTCTGGGAATAACCTTATTGGTAACACTCAGAAGATGGCTTACTCATGCCACTAGCTACTCTACAAGATATGCCTGCTGCTTTGAATTTATAGTAAGGTTTTGATAGTTGTCATACTGACAGAAGTTCACTAGGTGGCGGGCGAGTGTTACGGATCAGCATTTCAAATCTCAACGATAAGAGCATGTCATCTTTTACTCTGCTTCTGTGGGTGCTGACTCTCTGGGACTAAATTATACTAATTTATTCTCCATTCACCTTAATCAGCTTTTACAGGGCTGTGGCTGGGTGCCTCTGGCTTAATGCAGCTACACAATGGCTGCTGAATTTCTAATGTAGTTGTCAAGCACAAATTTTACTCTTAACATTCTTTTTTTGTTTGTTTTTTGGGTTTTTTTGAGATGGAGTCTCATTCTGTCTCTCAACGAGGAGAGGAGCGCAGTGGCATAATCTCAGCTCACTGCAACCTCTGCCTCCTGGGTTCAAGCGATTCTCCTGCCTCAGCCTCCTGGGTAGCTGGGATTACAGATGCCTGCCACCACACCTGGCTAATTTTTGTAGTTTTAGTAGAGATGAGGTTTTACTGTGTTGGCCAGGCTGGTCTCAAACTCCTGACCTTGTGATCCACCCTCCTTGGCCCCTCCCAAAGTGCTGGGATTACAAGGGTGAGCCACTGCTCCCAGCCTCTAAACATTCTTAAGTATTACATTTATGTTTTCTTCTAAAGATTGTTTACAGAGCTTGAAATAGAAAAAATATCTCAAACAGCTGTGTGTTTGGTAATTATAATTAGGTTATAACTCAGTAAAGCTTAAATATTCTAAAAACTGTTTTGTGGTTTTTTAGTCTTCTTGAGGGACGTCAAGTTCTGTATTTGTTTGGAGAAAAGACTTGTTTGGTTAATTTACGATAACCTGTTGACAGTTTTACTAAATATGTATTTGCTTCTTTAATATAGGAGCTGAAGTTGCTTTGGTTGGTGGCTTGAAACTTCTAGCTAGACTGTCACTTCTTACAGAACAAGACTTATGGACTGTTAATGGACTTCCAAATGAAAATAACTCTTCAGATCATCTGCCATTATTGGCAAAGTTCAGACTTGAGCTCTGACTCTGCTTTGATCACATACTAATTTTCTTTCCAATTTGTATTGTTTTTCAAAGAATGTAAAGTTCTTAAGTGTATGCATGTTGTTTATTTTTGCACCGTGGAGTTTCTGAAGAGGTTAACGTTAGATGCTTTGAAACTCCATATCAGAACAAACAACTTTATAACCATTTTTTTAATAATGAAAAAATATTTTCCTGACAAGTGAGATCTAAATACTCTTTATTGTAAAAGAGCTGTAAAGGTTTTGTATTCTAAATCCTAGTAAAATTGACAGTGATTTTTAATTATAATGCATCTTCCTTTGTCTGCTTAGTAAACAATTTTATTTCATAATTTTGGCAAGCTCTATAGTGGATCCAGAGTATCTTTGAGTTCTTGCAAGCTACAAGTTGTTTCCTTCCCAGAAGGCTTGATTTCATTAGGAGTACCCTCTACTGAGTTCTCAGTAGTTTATCTTTGGAAGAAGGTGGCAGCTATAAAATTATTTTTGTTATCCTCAGAAATATGAGGAAGCCTGTGAAACTCTACTGGGGAGATATTAACTTGAAGACTTAGTACTCTGTAAATAGTCATTTAAACTGTTGGTTTTAGTGGTTTTGTTTCTAAAATGTTTTCTGTTACAGTGATGCATCAGCGTGAGATGGTGCTGACACTTTCTATGAAGTGGTTATGAGCAGGTTTAATCCTCTATACAAGTGTTTGAATCAATTTTAAAACTTAAAAAGTGGAAATTCCCTCTTTTGTAGACAGTAGGAACAAGGAATTGTATGCATTTTTACTAAGTAGTAATTTTACACTGAATTATAAAGTTTTTACAATGAGTTTTATTAATAGAATGCTTCATCTTAAATTGGAAAACAGTAATAGTCTTGGACTAAGTCTTTGTACTAAAGCATTTGCTCTAATTATTTTTTTAAAAACAAACAGGTGAAAGCCTCAAAGAAGGCCTGTGGCTTATAAGATTTGCCTAGTAAAAACTGTAATTGAATGTTTAAATATTTAATTTCTCACTTTTCAGGGGGGGTTATTTTTTTATTTTTTAGATGGAGTCTCACTCCATCACCCAGGCTGGAGTGCAGTGGTTCGATCTTGGCTCACTGCAATCTCCTCCTCCTGGGTTCAAGCAGTTCTCCTGCCTCAGCCTCCCAAGTAGCTGGGGTTACAGGTGTGCACCATCACACCCAGCTAATTTTTGCATTTTAGTGGAGATGGGGTTTCGCTGTGTTGGGCAGGCTGGTCGTGAAATCCTGACCTCAATTGATCCACCTGTGTCAGTCTCCCAAAGTGGTGGGATTACAGGCGTGAGCCACCACACCTGGCCTTTGGGATGTTTTTAATTACAGTATTAACTATAGTTCCAGGATTCTTCCACATTTTATAGTAATAGTTTGCAGAATATTATATGCCCTAATTAGCAGATACACATATTATTAAATTACAGTGATAGTATAATTACCCCTTTTTAGTATTGGGGAAAAAAATGAAAATTCATTAGTTAATTACTGCTTTGTGTTGTGTGAATTTATTAACAAATAGCATTATTATAATAGGCCACTGTTAACAAATGAGTATCCCTGAAAACCTCTGTGAAAATTTAATTTTTTATATCCTGATTAAATATTGTGACTTTAGGCCCAATTTTCATGTGCTTCACCTTGATAGAGGTTAATCCATAAAATTGCTCTCTACTTTAGCTTATCAAATGAAGTATTATTTTGTGGACTGGAGGCCAAAAAGTCAATGTGAACTTCTCACGGGTTTTTAAATCTCCACTAAAAATAATTATCCATTTGTCTTTACTATTGTTGACCAGAATAGTTGCTAACTCTGCCGGAGCCTGTACTTACCTGCCAAAAGCAATTAAATCTGGTTAACTCCTGAAACCAAATCTCTCCGACTCAAGTGTTATGCTATCCAATTTTTTTTTTTTTTTTTTT